TAGTTATGGATTTGGTAATAGTGGTCGCCTTATGGTCAAAATTCGACTGCAATTCATTAAATATTTAGGATTGTATATTAAGCAAAATACAGCTACTTAACTTTCTGCACACTAATTTAAAAAAAAACATTTATAATTAATATACATAATATCAAATAAATGTTTCTTTTTACCATGACATACATTTCACACACTATTGAAAAAGGAACATTAAATGGTAATTTTTTTCAAACTTTGAAATTACAAAAAATTCACATCTTATTCAGCCAACCTGTCTATAAATATTTTTTCATCATCATCATCATCATTACAGCCTTTCATAAGTCCACTGCTGAACATAGGCCTCCACCAAGGAATGCCACAAAGCACGGTCCTGAGCCACCTGCATCCATCGACTTCCTGCATGTCTTACCAGGTCGTCACTCCATCTCGTGGAGGGTCACCCTACACTTCACCTACCGGTACGAGGCTGCCACTCAAGAACCTTTCTTCCCCATCGGCTGTCGGTTCTTCGAGCTATATGGCTGGCCCACTGCCACTTCAGCTTACTAATCCGTTGGGCTATGTCGGTCACTCTGGTTCTACTGCGGATATCCTCATTTCTAAGTTTATCTCGCAGAGAAACTCCGAGCATAGCCCTCTACATAGCTCGCTGAGTGACCTTGAGCTTCGTCATAAGGTCAGCAGTGAAGGACCACGTGTCAGATCCCAAAGTCATCACTGGCTACACGCACTGGTTGTACAATTTCGTTTTAAGGTTTTGAGGAATGTCTGACGTGAAGATGTGTCGTAGTTTCCCAAACGCTGCTTAGCCGAGTTGAATCCGTCGATTGACCTCTCGGTAGAAGTTGGACTTACATAGTCGACCTATTTGTCCCAGGTAAACATACTCGTCAACAACTTCGAGCTTAGTGCTCCCAACAACTACCGGCATAGGTGTGACATGGACATTGAACATGATCTTTGTTTTGTCCATGTTCATCTTAAGACCTATCCGTTGGGAGACACTATTGACGTCATTGAGCATGGTGCTTAGATCCTCCAGCGATTCTGCCATAAGGACTATATCGTCGGCAAATCGAAGGTGAGTGATGTACTCGCCATTGATGTTAATACCGTATCCTTTCCAGTCCAGCAGCTTGAAAACGTCTTCCAATGCAGCGGTAAAGAGTTTCGGGATATATCGTCACCCTGTCTTACACCCCTCTGCAATTGGATAGGTTTAGTACCCTGGTTCTGTACTCGGACAGCCATCGTAGCCCTACTGTACAAGCACTTTAGCATTTCGATATACCGACAGTCAATTTGGCACCGCTGAAGGGACTGCAGCACCGCCCAAATTTCGACGGAATCAAAGGCTTTCTCATAGTCCACATACACCAGGCATAGTGGCAAATTGTACTCCTCGGACTTCAGTACAACTTACCGAAGGGTATGTATGTGGTCTATGGTGCTATAGCCCTTTCGGAAACCGGCTTGTTCGGGAGACTGGAAGTCGTCAAGTCTGCGCGCGAGACGATTCGTAATGACTCTCGAAAGCATCACGTAGACGCGGCTCAGAAGGGATATCGGTCTGTAGTTCTTCAAGAGACCGTAGTCACCTTTCTTGAAGAACAAGACCACCGCACTTCTGCTCCACGTCTCCGGTTTAATGCCACCATGGAGGACGGAATTAAAGAGCCTCTAAAGGACTTCAAGTACCGGTTTTCCACCCACTTTCAGAAGCTCCGCTGTAATTCTATTCTCGCCTGGGGTCTTGCCATATTTAAAATGCTGGAGAGCCATTCTAATCTCGTTTAGACTGACGTCCGGGATATCTTCGGAATAGTGTCGGATAAGACTCGCTCTTTGATCGTTACTCACATTTTTTTTTAGGAGAGGGGGCAAACGAGCATGCGGCTCACCTGATGGTAAGTGACTACCGCCGCCCATGAACAGCTGCAACACCAGGGAGGGAATCGCAGATGCATCGTCGGCTTTTTAAAAAGGAGTACGCTCTTTTCTTGAAGGTCCCTAAGTCGTATCGCTCCGGAAAAATCGCTAATGGTAATCGATTCCACAAGGAAGTCGTGCGAGGAAGAAAACATCTTCTAAACCGCACAGTATTAGACCGCCAATCATCCAGATGGTGTGGATGGTATCGGAAGTTCTGCCGCGATGTGTGTTCGTTAAATTTGGCGGCTGGGATTAATCCGAAAAATTCCATAGAGCACTCCCCGTGGTAAATGCGAAAGAAAATGCAAAGGGAGGCAACATCTCTTTGCAGGGCCAATGAATCGAGCCAAACGGAAAGGGCTCGGTCGTCGACGATTCGAGCCGCTCTGCGCTGGATGCGGTCAAGTGGAAGGAGCTGGCACTGGGGAGCCCCAGCCCAGAGATAGGAACAGTATTCCATGTGAGGCCGAACTTGCGCCTTGTAAAGTTGCAGGCGGTGTGCCGGCATGAAATACTGTCCCGCCCTGCTGAGCACGCCAATCTTTTTATAGACCAATTTGGCCATCTCTTCCAAGTGACCACGAAACTGCACATCACTCGATATGTCGACTCCGAGGATTCCGATACTGGCTGAGGCAAGAAGGGGAGTGCCTTGAAACTGAGGAGATACGACAAATGGGTTCTTTTTAGTGGTAAACGCGAAAACTTGTGTCTTCTGAGGATTAAACTGGACTAGATTTAGTCGCCGCCAATCCGAGACTTTGTTCAGCAAAGTCTGAAGTTCTGAAGTCGTCAGACACAAGTTTGTTCCGATACTCGGCGACGTTTTCCCGAGAAATATTGGCACGGCCGGTGTATAGAGCATCACCAGAGCTGTCATCCGCATAGCAATGAATGTTACCAGATAGCAACATATCATTGATATGCAGAAGAAAATAGCAGACAGCCTTGTGGAACACCAGCGTTAATAGGCTTGTAGTCGGAGTATGCATCGTCTACAACAACCTTGATGCTCCGGTCTGCAAGGAAGCTGGTGATCCAATCGCACAATTTTTCGGGAAGCCCATAGGAAGGGAGCTTCGAAAGAAGCGCTTTGTGCCAAACCCGATCGAATGTCTTCGCAATGTCCAAACTAACGGCCAACGCCAACACTTGCATGTGGCTCCAACGATGACGTGTACAGCTGCCCATAGAACCTCTCAATCTCACTCAAAATCTCAGGTGCCCCGGAAACGATGCTGCCACACTCGGTCCTCAGCTTTGACATTTGGCTCTTTCTGGCAGACAGATCTCTGGCAAAGACTTTGGAGCCTTGGTTCCGCTCTATCGCTTCTTCAATACAAGCTGTATTGAAGTTGCGTAAGTCCCGCCGCATGCATTTGGAGATCCGTCTGTTCAGTTGCCTGTATGCTGTCAAATCTGTTGAAGAATGTAGCTTCATCTTTCGTCTAACAGCCATGAGATTAAGAGTGTGATCGGAAAGTTTTTGTGTTCTTCTGCGGCGGGTTTTGCAGAACTTAGCTACGATCGCATGGACAGTTTCCACGAGCTTGTCATTCATATCGTCCATTTCATTGCAGTTTTCTAGGCACTGAAAACGGTTTTGTAACTCGAGCTGAAAGGTTTCAGGGCTTTGGAACAGAGCACGAGGGGGACGGAGCGTTAATTTCATTAGACGATATCTCTCCAACTTAACGTTTAGGTTCAGTGTGCCTCTAACCATTCGGTTATCGCTTCCAGTTTTCACCCTCGCGATCACGGAGATATCACTGAACAGTTGTCGTCTGGTCGTCATAATGAAATCAATCTCATGTTTTGTCGAACCGTCGGGGCTCGACCAGGTCCACTTCCTAAGGGGCCGCTTCTGGAAGAAAAAGTTCATCATAAACAGTCCCTTTTTCTCCATGAAGTCGGCCAGCTGTTGGCCCCTTGGGTTTCGTTGCTCTATTCCAGATTTCCCTACTTTCAGCTCACCGTTCTCTCTTGTGCCTAGTTTTGCATTGAAGTCTCCATTAACACCGTATATTGGGTTTTGGAGGAATGCATGGCTCTAGAGATATCCTCATACATTTCCTCCACCTCCTCATCGGGGTGTGCCTAGTTTGATGCGTAAACCTGTATGACTTTCAGCGAATACCGTTTGGTGATTCTGAGTATAAGGTACGCAACCCTCGTCGACACACTCTCGATCTTTACAACGTTGTTAACGAGAGACTTGTGGACGATAAATCCGACACTTGCCTTGGGGCAGGTGGTCACCCTCCCGGTGATAGAGCAAGTTGCCGGATTCGAGGATTACCGTGTCCTCCCCCTCTCTTCGCGCCCCTATCTTCGGACTTCGGATAATCCTATAATATGCCAGCGTAACTTGTCTATTTCTTCTTCAAGCTCCACGATCTTCTCGTCAGACCTCAGGGTGTATGCGTTGTACGTTGCCAGATCGAGTCGTCTAAGGTGGCAACCGAACCTCCACCGGAGATTATTAGCACCCCCTGCCCCGCCGTTACCATGGTCGCCACCGTAGCCAGGAATAGCGGGGCCGCCAGAGACTGGGGGCCGTCTCTTTGTTATTCTTTTCATAGGAGGGTATTTGCCATAGTTGCCACGCTTGGCGAGCGAGTTGGCAACCGCAGTTTTTTTATTGTAATTTCGGCTAATATCAGGAAGATGCTGCTGCCCATCTCCTGCCTGTTTCCCTTTGTCGCCTTTTACGACACCCACGGAAGATAAGGGTTAGTGGATATTCTTGACCGCCACTACACGGCTCATACACGGCAAATATTTGTTGGCAAAGTTTTATTAATTTCTCTCGCTCTCTCTCTGCTCATGTGTGTGTGTGTGTGTGTGTGTGAGTGAGTGTGTGTGTGTGTTTGTGTGTGTGTGTGTGTGTGTGTGTGTGTGTGTGTGTTTGTGTGTGTGTGTTTGTGTGTGTGTTATGTGTGACTGTTTGATTACAAGCGATTAAGTGTTTATCATTGACCTTAGAAAAATAACGTGCAAATGCTTATACAGTCCGTTCACAGTTCTTTTACCTCTGACATCTGTGATTGTATTATCTTGCTAGGTTGGCATTACTTGCAGTCAAGTACTTCAGTCATATTGAAAAGCTTCTCGGATTTTTCTGTTGTTTCGATGATTATTTATATCTTAACATACCAAATAAGATTCAAAGTAGCGGCAGAAAAATAGTGCTATCAGGGCGCAAGTTTAGTGAACAGGAAAAAGTTAATAAAGGCCCTATAATTCCATTTGAAAATGTTCGTCTACGGGTAGCAGCCATGATAGGTGAGTAAAATAGTGTTACCTGCTATTCGTGTTTTCCCAAAACTAGCGAAAATTAAAATTATGTATTTTATAGTAACATCATTTTTGTACCAAAGTATTAATTCAATTTAGATTTAATAACGAAATAATTTAATAATTAAAATATTGTTGTTGTGTTTTTTTTTTCAATCATATTCTATGAATATAAACTAAAAAAAGTGTTAACGTGAAATTTCATATTTAAGGTATATCTAAGAAAACCGTTAGCACTATTACCAAACAAGGCGAAGTTACTACTTCCACATCTACAAAAATATCAACAATTGAACAATGGAGTAAACAAAATAAAATAGAGTTGGATGATTTTGATCTGTGTGCCGTCAAAAATAAAATACATCAAATTTACATAGTCAGAAAACACGTCCCTACTTTGGGTAAATTTACAACTTTAATGGGGGTTGCATCACATTATGGAAAATAATCCGACAAATAGGATTTCGATTTAAAAAATGTGGCTCTACAAGAAAACTATTAATAGAAAGACATGACATTGTAGCCTGGAGGTACACATACTTATATGTTTTGAGACTATATACTCTTGGAAAAAATGTTGGCAAACGGAAAATAAAGAAGGCGTAAGCTGGATTATTGTTCATGGTGGTGGTGAAATGGGCTTTATACGAAATATGTAATTGATATTTAAATCACAGTCAAAGTTGGGGGACTACCATGATGACATTTTTTTTATACGATAGGGTGACAAACGAGCACACAGTCCACCTGATGGTAAGTAGCTACTATGACCCATAGACATCTACATCTATCCTCAATAAAGACTCAAGATGCAGATGCGTTGTCACCCGTGAGGACTAAGATGGAATGCCTCTTTGCCAGTAAAACGAGTCTCCGGTTCTCTACACTCACCATACGAAACACAGCAGCGTTAAGCTGCTATTTTATGTTGGTTTTCTGTGAGAGCGTGGTCCTTCCCCGGTCGAGCCGACCCATTCGTGCTACAACTATACTACTTATATAGCTGCAGCATGGTTCTACTAGGTAAAACCAAGTAATGACATGAACAGAACAAATTTTATAAAATTGATACAAAACAAACTTATACCTAATTTATCAGCTAAAAGTTTTTAAAGTGATTGATAATGCGCCCTGTCATTTTGTAAAGCTGAATATGGCACCTTCATTGAGTTCTACCAAAGCTGTTAAGCAAAATTGGATCACAAATAAGGGGTTATCTTATATGCCTACTATTGTGAAAACTCAATTGTATAAAGAAGCTCCAATATATGAAGCTGATCAATAAGTTGAGGCGCACGGACACAAAGTGGCTAGACTTCCAGCGTACTACTGCGAGTTGAATGCATATGAATGACTTTATGTGGAGCCTTTTGAAGAGACGTATAGCTAGTAAGAATGTTGGATAAGAAAAAGATAAGATAGTAGAATTAGCCGAAGAAGCTTTACAACTTATTACTGTAGAAGATTGCAGCAATAAAGATCGGTTTTTTAAAACTGATGGATGCATAGATATTGAAATGAACAAGTTTATTATAGAACTGAATGACGAGTCTGATACAGAATTGAGAGCATATTTGATTAATTATGTTCATCAGACACTGATTTATCGTCAGTAGCTGTCACATGTATTCAAAATAAATAGAATTTATAAAAAAAAACATGAACATAAACACTTGGTTGGAACGAAGTTCTGTTCGTTGTATATTATCATTGTTAAAAGTATTATATTATTAATCAACAAATACAAATAAATTTATTACTGTGTCTATTAAAATGTAGTGTCATTTAAAATCAAATATTTTTTTTAATGGCAAAATAAGAAAAAGTGCGAGGAAGATGGATATTATTCCATCTCGCTTCCTTATAATCGCTAAGGCCGTTTATACTACGTCAGAAAGGGTCGTGACGGAAAGATCTTACATTTTTCCTCGCTTTTTTATAGGATAGGGTGACAAACGAGCACACAGTCCACCTGATGGTAAATAACTACAGTGACCCATAGACATCCACATCTATCCTCGTTTGCGAATCAAAATGCATATGCGTTATCACCCGTGAGGAATAAGATGGAATGCCTCTTTCCAGTAAAAAGGTTCTGCGGTTCTTTACACTCCAGTCGAGCCGACCCATTTGTGCTCAACTATACTACTAATATAGCTGCAGCATGGTTCTACCACGTTTAAAAGCCCCCATCCGCCAAATTTGTACCGTCTGATAAGGAACTTCGTTCCAAAAATTGTTTTTTTTATTACCGTAAAAAATAACCATACCATACTAAATGTATTAACAACCCATTACTACCCAACATAGTACATATGTATATGTACTGTTATTTAAAATGTCTTCAACTAAAATATTTTGTACAAAATAATCATACAAACCTCATGTGGCAACACAGAGCTCAAGTTAGCCAACTTTATAGCTAGAGGTTAAATAACTGTGAACGGACTGTACTTACACAGAGACATTGGCAGTATAAACTAAAGAGTATAAGTATAATCCCACTACGTTTTAATATTAAAATTTATGTGGGTTTTTTCGTAAGTATTACCCTTAAAACTTCATAGTCAAAACTTAATTCGATCACCACCGGCACCAATAAAACTGGTTATTGCAATTTCCATTGCTGATTAACCAAATAATGAGCAATGCAGGAAAACGTCGTTAGGAAACCTGTGTGAAAAATTTAAATAAATATTCGGAATACACTTGCAGTCCCGTACAGGTTATAACTTAGGATGGCCTTCTTGATTTATTTTGAATTGACTTCAAGAAAGGAGTTGAGAAGGTTCTTAATTCGACTGTATGTTCTTTTTTGTACTTAAATATTTTACGTGATAGCTTTGTCAATCATGAATTGAACATAACATAACATAACATAAACACTCACGCCTGTCACCCAGAGGGGTAGGCAGAGATTATGGACTTCCATTTGGCACGATCCTGACACACCTCTCTCGCTTCCTCCACATCCATATACCTACGCATACACGCTCGTCGGTTAAAGGTACTCTTGATTTGGCCCATTTTTAATATATCGCCAATTTGGTCGATAAACTTTCGCCTAGGGCGACCCTTCCCAACTATGCCGTTCACCTCTGCAACATAAATTTGCTTTGTCACTCTTTCCTCATTCATTCTTTCTACATGGCCAAACCACCGAAGCATTCCTTTCTTAATCCTGGTCACAACATCATCTTGCAAACCACACTCTTCTCTTATTAAACAATTTCTCACTCTGTCATTCAGCTTCATCCCTAACATACTCCTTAATGACCGCATTTCTACAGCCTCTATTTCCTGCATTCACTCGTCGTTCTATATCCTTATCATATCTACCATCCCTGCTAAACACACATCCCAAATATACAAAATCATCTACTTGCTCTACCAACTCCCCTTCTATTCTTATTTCACATATCGTTTTACTTTCTTCTCTTTCAAAAACCATAACTTTCGTCTTACTTGCGTTCACTTTCAATCCCTTTTCTTTTAATGTCCTGTTCATTAATGTAACCATCATTTGCAACTCGGCTGCCGACGATGCAAGTATGACTTGATCATCGGCGTACAAAAGGCATTTGACGGTTAACTCACCCATTCTTAACCCGCATTTTTCTACTTTCAAATTTTCCAAACAACTGTCCATAAATAGGTTGAACAACCACGGGGAAGCCACACAGCCCTGTCTGACACCTTTATGGATGTCAAACCAGTCCGAGTAGGCCCCGTTGATCCTGACACAAGCACTAGAGTCCCTATATAGAGACTTCAATGCCTGTATCAGACCAGCGCTCAACCCAAATGAGTTCAGTGTTTGCCATAACACATCCCTGTCCACTCTGTCATAAGCCTTCTCCAAGTCCATGAATGCACAAAAAACTTTTTGGTTTTTGGCCAAAAACTTCTCGGCGATCATGCGCATGGAAAAGATCTGATCCGTACATCCCATTCCCTTTCTAAATCCCGCTTGCACATCCCAAATTTTTCCGTCAGTTTCTTTCATAACTCTTTCAATTAGTACCTTAGCATACAGTTTTCCCACATTGCTAAGAAGGCTGATACCACGGTAGTTTTTACAATCCTGCTGTGATCCTTTTCCCTTATATATTGGGACTATCACGGCTTTGCACTAGTCTCCCGGTACCCGCTTAAGTTCCCAACATAAATTAAACAAGGTGTACAGCAGTACAGCACTATCATAACCGGCTGCCTTACCTGCTTTCATACTTTTCATTGCTTTCATTATTTCATCTATACTTATATCTCTATCTATTTCCTCTTCTTTCGGAATTTCCATTTCATTTAATTCAAACGTCTCATCACTCATAAACACGCTTTCAAAGTATTCCTTCCATCTCCTTAAACTCAAAACTTCGTCATTCACAATACAGCCATTCTGGTCTCGTATAGCATTAATTCTAGGCTGTTTTGAATGTCCCCTGGTAGTTCTTACAAGTTTCTAGAACATTTTAATGTTTGCCTGGAAGTTATCCGATATTCTTCTATCATTCTTATCCGTTCTTTCTTGCTTTTTCCTTTCAACTACTTCTTTTACTCTCTTATTTAGGTGTCTAAAAACTGCCTTTTTCCTTTCAATATCATCATTCATACTGCTAGAATTACTAGCCTTGGTTGCTAGTAAATCTAGCCATGCTTTCTTCTTTGCTTCAACTTCCATCCGTACCTCATCATCCCACCATAACGTGTTATTTTTCCTTTCATTCGTTCTCTTACTTACACCACATACTTCGGTAGCTACATCCACTAAACCTTTCTTGACATTATACCACACAGTCTCCAAGTCTAAATCATTCATACACAATTCAGCCATACCACTTATATTTTCTCTTAATATACATTTGAACTTCTCTTTCACACCTTCATCTTGTAACCTCTCTGTTCTTATACGCTGTAACGCAGTGGTAGACACAGATGTCCGATGCCTCCCACGTCTGAAAAGACCATTAATTCGGCATAAGACCCAGTAATGATCCGTCCCTACGTTAGAGCCCCGGTAAACCCTTGTATCTACCACCGCGCTCCTCATTCTTTCATCAACAATTATGAAATCTATCATACTTCTATCATCACCTCTTTCCCATGTATACGTGTGAATCTTCTTATGACGAAAGAAAGTGTTCGTCACAACAAGATTCTTTTCCACGCATACGGCGAGAAGGCTTTCACCATTCTCATTTATACTTTCATCACCAAACGTTCCCAATATCCTTTCATAACCAAACCTCCTCACCCCAACCCTTACATTAAAATCGCCTAATATCACAATATTTCATTAAACTTGCATTTCATTAGCACCATCCTTACCAACTCCCAAAACTGCTCTCGGATATAAGTGGGCTTAGACATGTTTGGGGCGTAGACCCCTAAAACTAACAACTTCTTTAAGCCCACTTTCATTCGTATCCATAGCAGTCTCGGGCTTAC